AAGCACAATGTTCCACGTTTGCTCTGTTCCCTACATAGTTCCCTACTTTTAGAATAAATTTTTTGCATGGCTTTCTTTTTCCTCTCTCTCCATAGAGGCAAATTTTTTTAGAAAGCTGCTGAACCAATTTAGTAGTAACCATTCGTTTTCATTTATTATCTTTCTGATCTAAACAATTCCTTCATAATTCTTTTAGTTGTCGTACAATTTGGACAAAGATCTGCATTTAATTTTCTCTTTGCTCCTTTCTGCATTTTTCACACCTCCCATGAATGCCTGTAGAAATTTCCTCTGCTCTTTGTTTTTCCTTATCTTGCTTTTCTCTCTCTAAACAAGTTAGCCTTTAAGACATTGTCAGTGATTTCTATCACCTTCATATCGCCTGGACATGTTTGCAATGAAGGGAGCATAGAATGGAAAGTTGGCAACAGATTGGTCTGTTTGGGAGAATTTAAGCAGAAAAGCAAAAAGGACCCATCAAATTTTATTCTGTGCAGAAACGGCCCTATAGGTTTGTTTTTTTTAACACTGTTACCAGGTTTTCTGCTTACTAATAAAAGTAAATCCTTTAACTACCAGAATGTTTAGTTCTACAGGCTCTGGGTTATGTTGTTTTCTAATGATCGTTCCTTTGAATATTGGTTATTAGAGTGTATTCAATTTAAAAAGTAAAGTTTGAATTTCAAGTTTTCAACCTTGAAAATCGGATAAAAAAAAGTTTAGTGATGTTTTTTTACTTTGAAAATAAGTGGACTCCAATCTATTCAAGTTCAGTATCCAATATGACCTGAAAGTTTAGCCCCTGTATGCATGCAAACTTACTCTCTTAGTGCTTGTAAATAAGAAAAAGTTTTTTCTTGGCTCCTATGCTTAATGGTAGTCATGGAAACTGCTTGGGTGTGACATCTTTTCTAGATCTGTGTTTTGATAAAAGCACTTTTATACTAACTTAGGAGGGTTTTAATAGACTGGTGTAATAAGCTCTTCATACCAAGTTTTGGAAGAAGAATCTAAAAAGTCTAAAAGTGATGCATCTCACAATTACAGATAAAAGCTCATTTTTGTTGTTGGTTTTTGTTGAAGTCATCTTTTAGGACCACTAAATGCGGAGTCCTTTAAAGGGAGAAGTGAGTAATTATGCGTGTGTCATGAACTCAAAACCTCTGTGTAATTTTGGTTTGGTCCAACTTCTTCCTCAAAACATCAGACAAACAAAGTATAGGCTTAGAGAAAGCAAGGAGGCATTTTTTTGGCATTAGAGAAATACATTGACATAAGACTTGGTTAAAGAACAGAAACGATAACGGTAACACATTTACAGGATGTTATAAGCTTGTCTGATTCCTTTACTTTCTCCATTATTTTTCTGTCAAGCCTATCTCTGTCCACATCTCCAGGTTTACAGTTTGGCTTCCAACCCTTCCTGGTTGTATTGTGCTTTTGCAGGGTTGCAGACATTTGTAATAGAAAGCCTGTGCCTCATTGTGTTTCTACATGTAGCCAGGTGTGCGTTCTTCATATAGAGGTAAATATCAATCTGTTGAAGGAGTTGAGGAGGCAGAAAGTCAGTGAAGCCTGCAAGTTGTTGGGGCGACAGTGTCTGCATCCATCCGTCTGTTACCAGGGGCACTTAAACGTGTGATTTCTGTTGTTGGGTTTTTGTTTTCCTTTTGTTTGGTTTGAGTTAGTGGCAGAATGTTCACTTTTTTGGTCTGTATTTAACTTTTTTTTTTTACTTGAGGAAAATTGGGTAGATACTCGATGATGGACTGTTTTTGAGAAACATCAAAATGGTGCAATGCTACATGATATGCTTACCTTTTATTTTTTAACTTGAATAAGAAAAGAATAATAATTTTAACTCATAATTTAATTTCTTAGCAGTATATGCAAAATCTAATATGGTACAGAGAAGATTAGCATGAAAATAAATAAACTCGGACGTTTTCTGCATAGAAACGCCTCAAAATCCTGAGGTACTGCTATGTTTTTATAAATGTTGAAGTTCTGGTCTAATGTGTACAAAGCAGGCCTTTTGCATCCTGGAGAGTCTTTTGGGATGGCCCATTTGAAGCCGAGACTGGCATTCGGGGGTTCCCAAGAAAGACCCTCAGCCTCAGATTGCTCCCTGTGCCCTAATGAGTGTGGCAGCACACTGCTATTGAAATGATGGTGTATTATATTCCCCCACTTTGGGACTTTAACCGAACCTTTCCTTTTCTATCCCTTTTCTTTTCCAATATAAACATATTTGTCACCCTAAAAAATATTCCAGCAGTCCAAATGTTGGCCAGACTCTGCCTTGATAGTGGCTCAGAATAGACCACCTGCTGCTCCGTTTAATGAGGATTCAATTGATGTGGATTGAACATCTCATTAGGCTACTTCCTGGAGGTGTTCCCAACATGATCTACTTGGAGGAGGAACAATCTAAAACTTGGTGGTTCTGTATATCTTTTTTTTTAAACCTGGGAATGCATTAGGATCTACAAAGATGGGCTACAGGGTGTCAGGGAGTATTGGAGTTCTTGGTTTCCCTGTGGGACATGATCTCTGATGAGCTGGAGTTTATAAATGGACCGGAAGGTAACTAAATACATGGGTTACATTTAATGTAAAGTATTATGGGATATAGCCAGAAAACATCCAACTACTCAGAAGCCTGAACCACCTTAACCTGTTGCTTTCAATGCTTTGGAGCCAAGGCTTTACTCTAAGGTTGGGGAAATGTCCCAAAACTCTACATTAGAAGCTCATTTGTACCATTTCCCTCGGAAATCTCCTTTTTTGGGTGCAAATGTTGTTTGAATCACGATAATAAAGTGACTTTGTGCCTCTTTTAATCTTGTGGAAGAATTTGATAATATACTTTGCTTAAAACTATAATTTTTTTATGGATTTGATATGACTTGTTTGTAATTCCAACAATAAAACATAGATGAGTGAGTTCTCAGTTTGTCAGCAGTGGACAAAACATACAAGAAAACCATTTTTTTTGCCTTGAAAAATTTGAATATCTTCTGCCGCTCTCTCTTCTGACATAATGTAATTTCTGCATAGACAGCTGTGGGCTGTTTGCGGGAGACGCATGCAGGAAACCACTGAAACTGCTATGGTCATATATGTCTGAATCAGATTGCAAATTTCAGTTTATATTAGTGATTCACCACAGAGGCACCAAGGCTTACTACAAAAGTTTGTTTGGATCCTCTTCTTAAGACCCAATGTTTATATCTGTCAGATTAGTAGAGTAATATCTATAAGATTATTTGCAAACCATGCGCAAGAAATCCTGCAAAGCTAGAGAGGAGCTGCATGGGTAGGGTTCTTAAAGCTGTGGACTCGGAGGATACAGACTTGCAGTAAACTGTGTTTCCCAAAACTGTTTACTTTTCTGTTAACCTATTCATCCTATTAGAGGCTTAGTTTGTTCACCTAGCATCGTTTCCTGCATGTGAAACAGGCAGCGTCTTCCCTCATTTAGGCCCTCTGACAGATTGATCATACTCAGAAGGGTTTGTATATGTTATTTCCCTTGATAGCATTTCCTTTGTCTACATTATTTACAGTTCATTTTGACAACTGTACTTTGTGTTTACTTATTCAGCACTTTCTGACCTCAGCTGTGTATGAAACATGTACTCCAGGATCTCTCAAGTCTTTGTCCTACAGTTTGCTGTCTTATAAACTTTAAGTCTCGTGTGTGTTGAGGGAGCACAGCAGGCCTTTTGCAGGCGCCTGTTTGTTTACACAGCTCTTTCTGCAGTTTTTTATTTGTTTAGAGCAGCGTGATAGAACGCAGGTCTCTGATAATGGAGTCAATTTCCCCTCCTCCTGCACCTCGTTTCTGTTCGTTCAACCCCTCAAATGTCCCCCTCTTCTTACGCCTTACAGCTGTTTTTGTTCTGCTTGATTTACTTTCCATCCAAAATGTTAGGTCAAATACAGACTTGTTCCCATTTTGCAAGCACACATAAGAACACATTGGTGTGTTTACATTTCTCGCTCAACTCGACTCGCACAACACCCCAGTCGGAAAGGAGGGCAAAGATAACAAAGAACTTTAAGAGAAGTGAGTTTGATCCAGAGCTCTGTCTTCACCTCGACCCTTGGGTCAGTTTACAACTAGTCAAGCATCTAGGGTGAAAGGTCATCAGTGTGGTTTGTGGGAATGGTCTTATCAGTTTTGTAACAAAGGTTCATCTAATTTTGACAAAGTGTCTCTTAGCTAATGATGCTTAGCGGTCAAATTTCTTTTTAATGCCATTTGTGTAATTGTTTTTAAACAGAGCTTATTGGCTCTCCTTTAGGTGGGACATATGTAAAAAAAATGTATTCATTCAAATGCAATTTTATAGTCTGTAAAAGTATAAAGTTTTGAGCTAGGCTTGTCACTAAAAGATTTTTCGGGATGACACATTGTACCAGAAATGATTGCGGTAAATGAAAATATTGTCATGCAGTTTGGATCCAATGGGCTCCTTCACTGCAGCTGTAACATTTAGCTTTGAAACAGATTTCAGCTTTCTTTTAATTTTTCAAATCTAAACTAGCTTTCCTCTGGATTACTAATCCTCAATCATGAGGCGCTCATCTACATTCGCTATGCTAAGGAAACGCTAAGGAAAGGGGTGTGTCTTGCAAACTCTTGCATACTGAAACGAGGGAGAGAAGATTCAAACATAAATGATTGAGGTCATTTAAATTGTTCATGAGATTGATTGATTCTTTGTTTACTGTAACAGGCCTGTTTTAAATTCTATTATTTTTTCCGGGTGTAAACGTGTATGAAAAAAGCAATAGAGTATGAACAATGATCTGTATTTATAGACTTTGCGTTCATCGCAGCGCCCTATTATCTATATGTTCATTTATCTCTTTGTCCTTGCCTCTCATTATTCTTTGTTCATTTTCCACATTTAATTTAGCTTCTAAATGGCCCAAATTCATCAAACAGTAGCATGTTAACAATGTCTCTATGTCTTGTTTTTGTCTCCCAGGGACAGTACCGACCTGCTGACCTCCTCTGCCCAGAAACCTACATTTGGGTGTCAATAGACCGATGCACACCTCTGCTGGATAGCTCCCGCTATGCTCGGTTAAATCAGGATCCAAATGCAGGTACAGCTACGGAAGACTTTGTTAGAGGTTTTTCCTCCCTTAAGTTAAGGAGTAAACTTTATCCTACATAACTCCTTTTATTGGCTGATTTTACCAAGCTTGAGACACATCTTCCCTATTCTTATGTCATTCATCCCTAATTTTGTTAAAAATAAATCTGTTAATTGGTGCAGCCATTGTGCATTTAAGAGATTGTTATGGGAAAGGGCAGAAGATTGTTGCTATGAATACTAAATGTGTAGAATAAGGCCTGTTTCCTCATCCTTTTTAATCCAAATCACAAAGCATGTGTGATGGGAAAGAGCCACCAATCGGCAGTAATAAGAAATTGGAGGAGACAAGAGGCTATTGGGATGGATTCACAGAGTTATTAAAATCCCTAAAAGAGGATATAAACAGAGTTATATTTGTAGTGAAGAAAAGTGACAGCATATTGCGGCTGGTGTTTGTTTACTGGCCCCAAAACACAATTTGTTCCCATTGAGATTGAGAAGAAAAAAATTAAAGGCTGCAAACATTTCTGACAGAAGCCTCTGAAATGTGGAGTGCTTTAAGACATTTTTAACCTCTTCTGATTTTTTTTTCTGTCATTGCTTTTTATGGATCATGCTCATTTTTCAAATTCTGATTTCATTTTAATAACTGTAAAAGCTCACTAAAACAGCTTGTGCCTTCTAAAGCTCAGAACCAGTTGAACCAACCAAGTCAAACACTACGACCATCAATGATTTGTGATTAGCAGTGAATCTTTTAATACATGTGGATGAATATTTGCTTTACTCTTCTTTGCAGAATTGGTTTAATTCAGAAGGGTTGTAGGAGAAGAAAGTCTAGTTTTAAGGTCATACTGAAACATCTTACCGTAATTGAATTAATTCCAGCCTACATTTATTTCACACTAAACCAGCCTTTGGACCATTGGACCCACTTTTTGAAAGGCTCCCCATCAGGGCTTGATGTTAACCATTGCCCGATCGCCCGAGGCAAGTAGTTTTTATTGTCGGGAGACTACAAATTTCGCAAAAATAAAATTATCACTCAAAATTACTTTTAAATCACCGACATTCGCTTAAAAAAGGACCCACAAGCGTTGCAGGCACCATTTTTGTTATTTTGTACACATTCTCGTGTCATTTGAAAAAGCCGTGAGATTTTCCGCCAGATGGCGTGATTTTTGTCCGGGAATTGGCAAGAATCAGACACATTTTTTTGGACTTGGCAGGCTAAAAAACAACAACAAGGCAAAAAAATGTAAGTAGAGTAGCACACCCACCACCTATTTTACCCTCCACCCATTTCACCTACCACCCAGATAACCCTAGATTAAAAATTATTTGTCAGGGATTAGGAAAATTGGCCATGCCCACAGTGTAAATATGGCTATCATATGGCAGTCTTTTGTACAGTGATGCAGGTCATACATTAAAAAATCTTAGTTATAGAGCTAGACATGTTAAATTGGTGACCTGTTATGTTATTATTGTCTTGTTGCTGCATTTATTTTGTCAGGGAAAACTAATCCTGATTCAGTTAAAAGTCAGGGAATTCTGAAATTATGTATGACTGTGGAAACCCTGTATAAAATAACTATGTATAATGATTCTCTAGAAATGTCACAATATATTAATAGTATCATCTTGTATAAACATACCGTGACTCTACAATAAAAGTTATTCATTTGTGACATTGACTTCTGTCTTGTGATTTACAGTAGCTTATGTTTTTAACCTGTCAAGTTTTTTTTTAGATTTTTAACATTACAATTTATATTTTTTCCAAGCACACAACAGTGTAAAGCAAAGTTTAGTTTGAAAAGATGTGCAGGAAGGATTGAAAAGCATGTTAACACAGTAATTTAGGCTTGAGTTCATTATCTGACGCATGCATATACACACTAGGAACCTGTAAACTTAAAAAAATTCTTGATTTCCAAAAAGCATTTAAAAAGCAAACATGTTTATTGATATATATACAAAAATGAATATTAGGAACTATTTTTATCAAACATTATACTGGGCAAGTAAAAATTGTTTCTGGGCAAATGAAATGTGGAAGTCACTTGCCCGAAGGGCAAGTGGTAAAAATCCTTAACGTCAACCCCTGCCCATTGTTAATTGTTTCATCCATTTGCAGTGTAACCATTTCCAAACCAATAGATGTTAGTAACTTTGTTTCTCTTGTTGTGTTTCTTTAGATCAGGCTATAGTGTTGCCTCTTAAAATTCCTAAGGTTTCGATAATAAGGTGCTTTAATCAGAAGTATATTTCATTTTCTGTAATGAAATGTGAAATTTTAAGTTCAAACTCATTTTTTTTTTTTTTTAATGAATAGAAATGGGATAGTGACTCCAGATTTTACTAAATTACTAATTCCACCGGTAGAAACCAGCTATTGGAGTTTGTGTTTCCTTAGACGGCCTTATGAGCAAATCAAATGTATTTGAAAGTAAGAAAAAAACGTCTTTGTTGTAAAAAATTATTTTCAGGAATATCACCATTTGCTCAGTGTCGCATGAATAACGTTTGTATAAATCTAGAGCTGTATGCCTGCTGTTAATGAGGTGTTTAAAGATGGTTTACGTTTACATAACTTTCCTCTCACATTTATAGAACGGCTGCTGCCAACACATCGAGGGTCCCACAGTGTCTACCTGTGGACTGTGGTGAACGTCTTGAACCCTGTACACTGAAATAGAAACCATGTTTACAGCTAATATGCAGTATCTCTCACACACTCACAATCAGTGTTTGACAGGGAGGCTAGCTGGGCCATTGGCCGCCCAGCAACATAAACACTAGCGGAAATCTGTGACCCGTGTTGTCTCTTGTTTGGCTTCCAATGCATTCAGGCGGCGCCAGTCGGGATACACAGACGCTGAGCGGTGATTTGTGCATTTGCATGCGCCAAAATGTTGCATTTTCATTCTGTTGGTGCCGTTAACATTTCTGGCTGTAAAAACTACTGTAATCAGTTAGCATCACTTAGCTGTTACATACAGTGAATGGGCATTAATGTCAACCTGATTTAACCTGCTTATCACTCCTGGGCTGCCTGACTTCTCCAATATATTTCTTCCTTCTTATGCATTTCATATCTTGTCTATCAGTCAGACACTTTTTCCTGTACCTCACAATGCTTTCAGCTCCTTAGCCCGATGAGTGCTGATGCTCCCAGGTTGAGTGGGAGCTGATGTTTGATTCCCCTTGAATATTTTTCACAAGCTTTAATGTACGTTATTTAAATTTCATGTGATGAAACTTCAGAAATGGACAAAAAAAAATCTGAAAAGGATGTTCTGAAATAGCTTTCATTTCTTCTATATATTTCTAGAAAAAAAAAAAAACTTTCATCACAACAGCTGCAGGTCTGTAGGGGTATTTCTCAACCAACTTTGCATTTTAGTCCAGACCTAAATCAAAATCTTTTTAGTACAGGAATATGATCTAAAACCTTCTTTTGTAACTTTTTATGTCTTTTGTTTAAGCTTAATTTTAGCATTTTTTTTTATGTTAGCTTACATAAGGATGGTCCTGTATTTAGCTCCATGTATCTATCTGCTGCTGCTTCCACCATGTATCGCTTTGGGTTGCTTAGCAACTTAAAAAATGAAATGCAGCTGAAGGTGTGATTCCTGGTTCGGTTTCATGTGCATTATTGGTCTTCCACATGCCCATGATTTTTGCATTTTTACATAAAGTTCCAGCATAAGAACTAAGGTTTTGTGCTTTTCTAACCATCTGTTGTCAGACAGCCTGATAGGAAAAATGTCCATACGATTGATTAAAGTTTACAGACCCGGCCTGTATTTGAGTTCATAATATCAGACAGACTTCTCCAGATGAAAGCACCTGCTGACAGCAGCTGGACTTTACTTCTAGGATAAATATGAGGCCGTTATATGGAAATATCTCATGCAATGATTAACCCGGCTCACTTATGGTTTGGGATTTATTTTAAAAATATCTAATTCTAGTCTCCTAATCCCGGAAGTCCAACAAGGATTTTAAAGTGGGCTTCTATAGCTTTAATCACACACATGTTGACATTGCTTACATTTTTTTTTCTTTTTCTGCAAGTTTTTTTTAATGTTCGATATAAAGTAGATAAATATGAATGTTTGCTACTATTGTCAGATTTTTTTTAATCTTTACTTCTGAAAAGCACTTTGGTTCCCCGTATTTTTAGCAGGGAGCTGACTTTTTTTTCCCCAACTATTCTTCTCCACTGAAAGATTTCCCCCTTGCTTTTCATAACAATAATAATGAAAGCATCCTTTACAATTAAAATGAGTCTCTTCCCTGGAGGTCAACATTCTTGGTAAAAAACAGAGATTAAGCGTCCCTGTTTCAGCTGCCTACAGGGTTCACACTTCTTCCTGTCAAATAATGAACCTCTCATACACAACACAACCAGTTTGGCCTCTTCTTTTTTTGAGAGTGAGCCCCATTTTGGATCTCCGACATTAGGTCACAGGAAGTGGTTATAACCCGATGGCCTATCTTTGACCTGCATCCGCCTTAAAGAACTTTAGAGATGGAAAGGATGAGAAGGAGAAGCGTGGCGAGGTGTCAGGGCACCAAACTCCAACCCTGACCCTCTTAATCCCTCCGACTACTCCTCTTCCCCCGACCCTTGAACTCCAAACCCATGGCACTGTGACCTCAGAGCGGCGTGTCACTGAACGTCCGGCTGGCCTGACAGGAACAGGATCTGGAACCACTCAATGTGCAAAGAGGCATCAGCAGAGACTGAAGCTAGCGAAGAAGAAAAGGAAAGTTGTTTATGTGAGGCGCGGATGTTTGGGTTTTCTGGAGTAGGAGGGAGAGACAGACCCTCTGTTCAGTGTAAGTGCTGCAGTTAATAGACCATCTTAAAGCTGCACGCAGCTACCCGCTGTGTTCTGTAAGATGTTCACCTCTTAATATCTCCACCAACGAATGAGTGTAACTCTGCTTAAAATGGCCTGTCACTGTGATGAGAAACATGGAAGAGAAGAAGTCACTGGCCTGAGGTAGTTTTAACTTAGGAAGTATCAGACTTTTAAACACTCATCCCCTCAGCATAAATTAATTCTTTATGGACCAGCATGGCCATGGGGGAGTTGCATAACGTCTTTTGAAATCCCACATGAGGAAACTTAACATAGCGCTGATTTTCTTCTTCTGATTGCTCCACTATTCTTCAGGTTTCTGACTCGGCAGTTTTTCAAGAAGTGGAGCATTAGCTGCATTCTCCCTCTCAGGGGAACCGCTGCTGATAAATAAAATATGAGTTTACAGTAAAGCTTTAAAAACTCTACCTGAAGGATAAAAAACATGCTTGTGGAGACTGTAGTTTAGAGCTCCTTGTCCTCTGGGTTGCCTTTTCCTTAGGCTCGCTTGTAAGGGAATTGTGCAAGTGTTCAAACCCCATCCCAAATACATACTTCAGCATATTCAATCTGAATATCTATCATATCTTTATGATAGATCAATGCATTTTGGTAAAAAGAAAAACACTCTAACTTACGCGGCATGGATTAAACTCAAATTCCCCACCCAGCTTCCGTTAGATACCCTTAGATGCATGCATCTCAAAATACATTCTCAGACGAAGGTTTTTGATGAATATGTATTAAAGTGAAACAGTTGCATGTATTTTTGAGGTCTGGTATGTCTCTAAAGATGTTATTTTGGAGTAGAGACTGACATTTTTTCGGGAATCCCACGGGTCATGGGATTCCCGTGGGGTGGGAGTCGGTATTAGTAAC